GAACTGTAATTATGTGATAGTTGCAAATTAGGGCAATGGATGCCCTATAGGATAGGGTGGACGAATTCAAGGTGATAAGGCCTTAGAATTTGTCCATGATAAGGTTTCTAGGGGTATCCTTTGAGCTGCTTGGTGGACAAGCAACCAGATAAGGATAATGACTGAAACCCTAATCCCTACACCTATATAAAGACCCCTTGGCTAATGAAATTCGTCCATGCCTTGTCTAGGATTCCTAGGGCCGAATTTCATACCTCTTCTCTCTCTCTCTCTCTCTCTCTCTCTCTCTTGCCTCTCTATTTGCTCTTGGTGTTTGTGAGCCATTAGAGGTACTACACTTGTGGTACTTGCTTTCAAAGACAAGAAGATTCAAGATTTAGGTTGTTATTACAATATAACAACAAGAGGTATGTATTTCATATTTCCTTATGCATTTCAAAATTCCTAGGAGCATATTAGGGTTCTTCAAGTGTTCATAATGTTGTATAACTACAATTGATAACATAGATTCAACTCTAGGGTTGAATTCACACATACGATTGTTTGTTTAAAACACATCAGTGGTATTAGAGCCATTGGTTTTTGTTTTCAATTAGCATTATACAAATGTATGAACTTGACAAATTAGGGTTTATGGCCAATAAACCCTAGGAGGCATGAATTTTCGAAATTAGGGTTCTTGAACCCTGATTTGCGAAATTTGGTTAGGGTTTCCCAAACCCTTTCCTTAGCCTCAAAGATTTCGAAATTGGTTAGGGTTTCCCAAACCCTTTCCTTAGCCACCAAGTTTTCGAATTCTAGGGTTATTCAACCCTTGAATTTCGAAATTTGCCTCCTTCCCCAAGATAAGATCCTATTTTTTAGGGATTTGGATAAATGTCATATCTTGTAATTATCTTTTAAGTGTTTAAATTTGGTAATTAAAGATTTTGAATTATCTCATCCTATAATTTTGAATATTAGGGGATTTAACGGATTAGGTTATATTAATTGTTTAATTTAATAGATATCCTCCAAGATTTAATAATTCAAATTAATTGTTTAATTTTTGGATAATTATTAAATCAATGTTTTAATATTTAAGATTTTAAAAATTAAAAGGTTTGATTTTTCGAAAATTTTAAATATAATTAAAACCTAATTGTCTTGAAAAGTTTCAAAACTTACCCTCAAGTTTTGGAATTTAAATTGTTTGATTAAAAGTTTAATTTTGAAAATCTGAATTCTAAAACCCTAGTTTTGAAAAGTTCAAATTTCACCATTTTGGTTTTATTAAATTGATTAAGTGTATAATTAAGAGAGAGTTAATAAATCCATAATGCTATGGTTTACATTTAATTGAAAGTGTAATTTATAAAACTAAACCACCTAGTATTTTAAAAGTGTAAAATACACCCTTATACTATGTATAACATTAAAACTCTAATATTATATATGTATAACTTAAATGCTAGTCTTACCGTTAGTAGGCCTCATTCACGAAGCCGATCTATAAGGGGGGTATACGGTTATAGCCTATAAAATAGCCGTTTAATGGGTGTCCACTCTCACCCACTGCTTCCTTGATTGGTGGAGGGTCGTTAGCCGAACGGGTAGGATAGGGCAAACCCTCTCCTCATTAAAAGTATAATAAAAAATAAAGTAGCTAAATGTTTTACCAAATTCCCAATCTTAGTTACTTTAGGAAAAATTGAATTGATGCAATTCCATGAAATTACACTTTGTACCCTTGCTAAGATGTTAGTGGAGCGTGTGTGGTTAACCCGCACATCAAATAGGTGACTGTAACATTAGGGGCACCATGTATATTTGCATGGTTATTCACACCTTGTTTTGTGATCCTCGGCATCTCAGTCACAAATCGAGGAGCATATCGAGATTTAAACATGCCATTGAAAAATTCAATGAATCTCAAAAAAAAAAAATCTAGGAGCTTTCAATACATCTAAAACTTAAATTTCCTTTCATTTTTCATGCTGGAAAATTAGTGAATCGTCATTCACTTACCTTCAAATGTTCTGCAAGTTAGATTACGACATCCCTTTTCCAATTTGTAGGATGTTGTGTTGGATCCTAACCTTAATATCTCATTTGTGTGTTTTATTAAGGACTCAATCAACTAAACTTGAATTTTCTCCCGTTTCATAGATGTCAAAGTCTGACAACTATGGTCTTCCTAAATCGTTGGAAAAGGTTTTCCACGTGAAGATGATGTTCCACGATTGGATTGTGGAAATGGAAGTCATGCTTCATTTATCCACCTCCTCCAATAATTCTCTCTGACCCACGTGTTTAAAAACTTGAAAAGTTCAAGGTCATTCAAGCCCTATTGGCAATAAGACACAAAGATGGAAAGTATGTGTGTACATACGTCTTAAAGATGAAGTCACACATTGACAAGATTGTTAGGTGTCGATGTATCACGCAACTCTATTATCATAACAAGAAATTGTACTAGCTTACATTGTTAAGCTGACAATATCAGGCATAACCTAATCATGTTATCCTACTGTTGTCTACTCATACTAGCATGCAATTCTCATAAGGCTAAAACACATATAGCAGGCACATAAGGCATCTCCCTAGATCCTTAGTCCTATTCTAGCATGCCATTCTACTGAAACTGAAACAGATAATCACAATGTAAACTTGTATAGGTAATCTGGGAGTACTTACTTGAGCTCGGCTGATCGCATGCACCACACCCTTTTCTCGTTTTCAAAATCCATTTCTTTTTAGGTCTCTTTGTCAAAAATTCTTTTGAAAACATTTTTCTTTCAAAAATCTTTTACTATTTCCTTAGTTTGAGTTCAGTCATACCCATAAGTGTGCCTAAATCCCTCAAACCAAGGCTCTGATACCAACTTGTAACGACCCAAAAATTTTCTGATTAAATAATACTAAGGTTATCAACGATCTATAATATATCATAAAATCGTACGTCATAAATCCCAAAAAGTTATAATAGAGCTGTCATAACAAAAGAACTGTAACAACATATCATAGTATATGAAATAAACTCCCAGGACAAAAGTTGAAGTTGTGGTATGTGCAATGTCATCATCCTGAGCTGTTCCCTTTGTTTGCGGAAGTACTTGAAACCAAAACTGAAACTATAATCACAAAGCTTAGTGAGCTCCCCCAGACTACCACATGCCATACAATCATATAAACACATATTGGGCCTTGCCCACTGCATCGGACCGAAGTCCGAAAACTGCATCGGACCGAAGTCCGGAACTAACCAGGGCCTTGCCCTCTGCATCGGACCGAAGTCCGAAAACTGCATCGGACCGAAGTCTGGAATTGACTGGGACCTTGGCACCTGCATCGGACCGAAGTCCGAAACTAACTGCATCAGATGGAAATCCGGAACTGACTGGGACCTTGTCCCCTGCATCGGACCGAAGTCTGGAAACTGACTGAGCATAACGTAGCATAGCATAAACATATCAACTAGCATAAAACACATATACTGCATACTGCATCACACCGAAGTCCGGAACACATAACACAAAGCCATGCTTGAATCACAAAGACATCAAGCACATTGAACTACTGCATCGGACCAAAGTCCGGAACTACTGCTAACTAGACGGGTCGGCATTGTGGCCGTAGACCCGTTCCTACTGGAAGGAAAACTCACCTCGTAGTGCTGGCTGCTGAGATGCTAACTCTAAAAGTGGCTGACTGCTGCTCCGGAACTATCCGGCTACAATTT